CAACTCACCGCAACCTCCGCCTCCTGGGTTCAGGCAATTCTCCTGCCTCAGCCTCCTGAGTAGCTGGGATTACAGGCACGCGCCACCATGCCCAGCTAATGTTTTGTATTTTTAGTAGAGACGGGGTTTCACCATGTTGACCAGGATGGTCTCGATCTCTTGACCTCGTGATCCACCTGCCTCAGCCTCCCAAAGTGCTGGGATTATAGGCTTGAGCCACCGCGCCTGGCCCAGATTTTCTTTTTTTGAAATAAAGTCTTGCTCCATCACCCAGGCTGGAGTGCAATGGCACAATCTCGGCTCACTGCAACCTCTGCCTCCCAGGTTCAAGCGATTTTCCTGTCTCGGCCTCCTGAATAGCTGGGATTACTGGCCTGCACCACCATGCCCAGCTAATTTTTGTATTTTTAGTAGAGACAGAGTTTCACCATGTTGGTCAGTGTGGTCTCGAACTCCTAACCTCATGATCCGCCCACCTCGGCCTCCCAAAGTGCTGTGATGACAGGCATGAGCCACTGTGCCTGGCCAACCGAGAGATTTTCATAGGAGAAAAGAGAAACCAGGCCTCACCTCCATACCTGGATCCATCCGCGGTGATGGCATTTACGGAGAGGTTGGTGTGGATGTAGCCAGGGCTGATGACGGTCACCTCAATTTCATACTGTTCCATCTCAGCACGCAGACAGTCAAAGAAGGCCTGGGTTGCATGCTTGGAGGCTGCGTCTACACATGTGGACGGAGAGGCAGGTGAGTGAGTGGGCATGGCCTGGTGCCCAACTATTCACTACCATTCATGCTCTCTGCTTTTAAAACCTGGTTTTATTTGTGAGCAGGTCTGGTTATGTTGCCTAGGCTGGACTCCAACGCCTGAGCTCAAGTGATCCTCCCGCCTCAGCTGGGACTGCAGGCATGGCCCACTGAGCCCAGCTCGAAAACCTGGTTTTATAATTTAAGATTATAGTATTGTAACGATGTTCATTTCCTGACTTGGAGAAGTGTACTGTGCCCTTGTTCTCAGGAAACACACTGAAACAGGAATAAATGAGCATTATGTCTCCAGTTTCAAATGATTCAGGAAAAAATTATATGCTACATACACATATAGTTTTATATATATTATAAACTGTATACATGCATATACACAGAGAGAGAATATGATAATGGAAATTAGGTAAAAGGTTAACAGGGACTCTGCGTGAAGGGAACATGGGAGTTATTTGTGCTGTTCCTGCAATTTTAAGTCTGAAGTTATTCCGAGTTAAAAGTTTAAAAAAAAAAAAAAAGAATGCCTACTGGGTAAAACATTCAAATAGTACATAGAAGCATATAGTATAAAAAACAAAAGTCCTCCTAGCTTCCAAATTCAACTCCCAGAGATAATCCGTGCTAACAGTATCCCAGGATTTTTGTTTAATTGTCTTTTGTTGCCGGGCATGGTGGCTCACACCTGTAATCCCAGCACTTTGGGAGGCTGAGGCGGGCTGATCACGAGGTCAGGAGTTTGAGACCAACCTGACCGACATGATGAAACTCCATCTCTACTAAAAACACAAAAATTAGCAGGGTGTGGTGGTAGGCACCTATAATCCCAGCTACTCAGGAGGCTGAGGCAGGAGAATCGCTTGAACCCAGGAGGCAGAGGTTGCAGTGAGCTGAGATCGTGCCTTTGCACTCCAGCCCGGGTGACAGAACAAGACTCTGTCTCAAAATAATAATAATAATAATTATGTTTTGTTTTTTCAGAGAAGGCATCTTCTCTGTCACCCGGGCTGGAGTGGAGCTATGATCGTAGGATCATAGGTGGTTGCAGCCTTGACCTCCTGGCCTCAAACAATCCTCTCACCTCAGCCTCCCAAAGTGCTGGGATTACAGGAGTAAGCCACCGTGCCCAGTGATCTTTTTTTTAAGACAATCTTGCTCTGTCACCCAGGTGATCTCGGCTCATTGCAATGTCCGCCTCTTGGGTTTAAGCAATTCTCTGTCTCAGCCTCCTGAGTAGCTGGGATTATAGGTACACATCACCACACCTGGCTTTTTTTTTTTTTAATATATATATATATTTTTAGTAGAGACAGTGTCTCACCATCTTGGCCAGGCTGGTCTTGAACTCATGACCTCATGATCCACCTGCCTCGGCCTCCCAAAGTACTGGGATTATAGGCATAAGCCACTGGGCCTGGCCAATTTATTTTTTTATATATCCTACATCTATCCATGTGATTTTATACATTTTATATAAACCATATATATGTATATGTGTATATACATATGTGTGTGTGTATATAAATATAGAAATGAGCTCTTACCTATTCTACTGTTCCTGCAAGTAGCCTTCTTTACTTGGTGGCAGGTAGGACAGCTCCCATGCTAGCCCTGCAGACCTGCCATGTAGCTGTGGCTGCCTAGTCCTCCTGTGAGTTATCAGGTGACAGAGGGGGGCGCCATGAGTAGGCCTTCATGGGTGTATAAAATCCAAGCCTGCCTTCTTATATATCTCATTCTGACAAATATCCAGGCAGTGGCTTTTCATCTACAAGAGCTATAGAGCTTACTCGACCTGCAAGAAACAGAGCTGTGTCTGCTCTGGAGGTAAGGGCTTCACAACCCAGTAAAAGGTGCTCTGAATGGGAACACAGTGACCCTATAATGACATTCCGGGAAACATACCAGCATCTCCACAGTAAATCAGTTTCCTCCAATTCAGATTTCTAAATGTTTTAGCCTTAGGAAAGAAGGGGCATCCGTCAGCTAAGGAAACAGGAAGGGAGAAAGCAAGGAAGTGTCGCAGCAAGTCACAGGAGGCAGTTCAGCAGTGTCTCTGAGCTTGCTGCACTGCCTTTCTGGGCCTGCTCCGTTGGTTTGGGGCACAGTTGCTGGGGCTGGATGAGTTGGCTGTGGGTGGATGGAGGACTGCTCCTATTAGCCATGATTCCAAGAGTACAGCCCAGGCTTGCGGACAAGAAAGAGTGGGTTATCCTGTAGGTACCCAAAATAGACTGCTACCCTCTCACAGCTGGTCTCCCCAGAGCTCTCAGACTGTGAGTTCTCAGCCAGGCTGTGCTGACCTCGCCACTGTTCACATCACTCACCCTACCAGTGTGAGGCCCAGTACTAAGCACACTGCGTGGATGATGTGACGTGGTTTTCACTTTAGCAGTGTGAGAGAGAGAATGCTCTTCTCCCCATTTTGTAGGTGAGAAGGCCGCTACTAATTTGGGTTAACCAACTTGCCCAAGAGGCACTCCATATTTAGTCTGGTCATTACAAAGCTGAATATGGAGACCAACCATTGCATGCCTTACTGCAGTCAGCAGGCCGACTGGACAACAAAAATCAGTGGTATTATTATAAATCAAAGTAAAACTTGAAGATAACTTAGTATAAGGAACTTCAGCTGGGCACAGTTGCTCATGCCTGTAATCCCAACACTTTGGAAGGCTGAGGTGGGCGGATCACTTGAAGTCAGGAGTTTGAGACCAGCCTGGCCAACATGGTGAAACCCCATCTCTACTGAAAATACAGAAGTTAGCCGGGCGTCGTGGTGTGCATGTAATCCCAGCTACTCAGGAGGCTAAGGCAGGAGAATTGCTTGAACCTGGAAGGCGGAGGTTGCAATGAGCCAAGATTGCAGCACTGAACTCCAGCCTGGGAGACAAGAGCGAAACTCTGTCTCAAAAAAAACAAAAGAAAACTCTTATGTCCTTTACCCTGATTTACCTATTATTAACATTTTAACTCATTTGCTTTATCATTTCTGATTCCATATGTATTTTTCCTGAACCATTTGAAAAGCCTTAGATGGCTGTCCTTTCCAAAGTTGAAATAGAATATTAACAAACAGAGAAATAATGTATGTACAAGCATGTATGATGATTGTAAATTTCACTAATATGTAAGGAAACAGGATCAGAATAGTTAAGTAATGTGTTGAAGAAAATACAACCAGAACCAAAAGGTAGAGCTGGGATTCAGATCTTGGAAGAAAGAATAAACTGTGTTACACTCCCAGTTCACTGCTGGCCCTACCGTGTCACGGAACTGGATGCTTGCGGCTGCCCTTGGAAAGTGCTACAGCAGCTCAGCTTTCCCTGCCTTTGCTGACCAGGCTGGGCCTAGCCCTTGGGTGGCAGAGAGGAGATGAGGCTGGTATAGGTAGTATTTCCTTTCAGGAGGTAATGCAAAGAAAGGACAGTATGTGTAATTACCTTAAAGCCCTTTTTATGGAAACCTGAGTGCCCAGAGATAACAATATTTGAGAATGTTCTATATAGCACCACTGCTAATGGTCAAAGACTGAGGGGGAAAAAAAATGCTCAAGTGTCTAGAAAAATGGCCAAATCAATTATGGCACACTCATTCAATGAATTACTCTGTATCCACATGAAAGGATGAGGTAAACCCATATATGCTGATGCAGAAAGACTCACCGTTAAGTGGCACTGACAAACCACAAAGCACTATGAATAATGCCAGCCCATTTTTGCTTATTTGAATTATATGTAGAAAAAAATGTGGAGGCATATGTCCCAAAGTGATGGCATGATTATATCTGTGGGACGATCATAACAATAAGAGTGGCTAGCTCACGCCTAGTGCTTAGTGCCCGGGGCAGCTCCATGCACCGCACCCACGGCAGTCCTCTGGGCTGAGGCTGAGGCTGAGGCTGTGTCCATTTACACTTGAGGGTGGGGCACCGAGAAGTAGAGACACTTGCCCAAGGTCACAGAAGAGACAGAAAATGGAGCCGGAATTTGAACCCAGGCCTGTGGCTCTGGAGAACACATTCTAAAGTGCCTTTGCACGCTGGATAGTTAATTTCTACAATGTCTAAATTCTGAATAGTAAATGTGTTATTTTTATAGTCAGGAGAAAACAATAAAGCATTTTGTGGAAGAGAGAAGTACTCACATGATGATCGAAAAGGAATGCTGATCTTGCCCTGGATGCTGCTGATGGCGACAACGTGGCCTTGCCTCCTCTTGATCATGGACGGCAGGAGCGCTGAGGACAGAGGCAGGGGCTTAGGCAAGTACCCTACTTCCAGTCATTAGTCAGAGTGAGGGAGAATGGTGAAAGCCCCTTAGGGTGAAGGACTATCTGGGAACTCCCAGCCTCCTATGCCCCACAGAGTGCCAGCAGGCCAGCAGGAGGGAGGAGAGAGGCAAGGAAACAAGGATGGAGGTCACTAGAGATGGGTAGCTCAGTTCCCTTTTCCTGCTGGAGCCTCTCCCCAGATTGAAATCCGTGGTGGGATATAACAATTTCTCACCTTGTAGGGCTTTGCAGGCACCATGAAAAAGACATGTAGGTAGGCCGGGCGCAGTGGCTCAAGCCTGTAATCCCAGCACTTTGGGAGGCCGAGGCGGGTGGATCACGAGGTCAAGAGATCGAGACCATCCTGGTCAACATGGTGAAACCCCGTCTCTACTAAAAATACAAAAAATTAGCTGGGCATGGTGGTGCGTGCCTGTAATCCCAGCAACTCAGGAGGCTGAGGCAGGAGAATTGCCTGAACCCAGGAGGTGGAGGTTGCGGTGAGCCGAGATCGCGCCATTGCACTCCAGCCTGGGTAACATGAGTGAAACTCCGTCTCAAAAAAAAAAAAAAAAAAAAAGACATGTAGGTAAGGCTGCACCAATGAGGCCGTCACAAAGGAAAACATCTTGACTAGAAACTATAAAGCAGATACCAAAACTGTTAACAATAACACCCACTCCAGGGCAATAGAGAGGATGGAGACAGGGAACGTTTCGCTGAAAAGGATCCACGTGAAGTAAAAAGAATTGGCAACATATCACTTGTGACTGCTGGTTTCTCAAAACTGTTACCTTTCGTTAGAGCAACTGGGCCAAAGTAGTTTGTCTCCATGACCCTCTTGTCCACATCCACTGTGGTGTCCATGATGGTACCACGGTAGCTGATCCCAGCATTGTTGACAAGTATGTCCACACAGCCAAAGCACTGCAGGATCTCGGCTGCTGCTGCAACTATGGCCCCAGGGTCCGTGAGGTCGAAGGTCACCATGTAAGGCTTGTGTGTCTGCACCTGGTCAAATACAACAGACACCAAATTCACTTTCTGAGTGACAGGCCATCTGAGGTATGTACAGATGTATGTAACTACAGACCACTAAGGCTCAAAACAATAATGAACTTTATACTTTAAGGAACTAGAAAAAGAACAGCAAACTAAACCCAAAACCAGCAGAGGAAGAAAATATTATAATAAAGACTAAAGCGCAGATAAACAATATGGAAAAGCAGCAAAAATCAATGAAACCAAAAGCTAGTTCTCAGAAAATATCAACAAAAGTGAGAAAGCATTCACTAGACTGACAAGGAAAAAACAGAGAAGACACAAATAACCAAAATCACAAATGAAGGTGGGACCGCTGACTTTACGGAAATGACAAGAGATGATAAAAAAGATAATAAGAGATTATAAAAAATGATTATAAAAGAATACTATGAACATTATTTGCCAACAAGTTAGAAAAACTAGAATAAATGGATAAATCTCTTGAGAAACACAAATTACCTAAACTGACTCAAGAAGAAATATAAAATCTCAGGAGACTTATAACGGATAAAGAGATTGGATCAGTAATCAAAAACCTTCCAGCAAAGAAAAGTCCTGGACTGGATGGCTTACTGGTGAATTCTGCCAAACATTTAAAGGATAATTAACACCAGTCGTTCTCGTACTCTTCTAGAAAACGAGAAGGAGAAAACACTTCTTAATTCACTCTGAGTCCAGCATTACTTTGATACTAAAGCCAGATTAAAGATATCACAATAAAATTATAGAGTAGTATCTCTCGTGAACATAGATGCAAAAATCTTCAACAAAATACCAGTAAATTGAATTTAACAGCATATTAAAAAATTATTCACCATGACCAAGTGGGATTTATCCTAGGAATGCAAGCAAGGTTGGTTCAACATAGGAAAATCAGTCATGGCCAGGTGCAGTGGCTCATGCCTATAATCCCCAGCACTTGGGGAGGCTGAAGTGGGAGGCTTGCTTGAGCCCAGGAGTTCGAGGCCAGCCTGGGCAACATAGCAATACCCTGTCTCTTTAAAAAGTAAATTAAAAAAAAAAGAAAATTGATCATTATAATACACCACATTAATAGAATGAAGAAAAAAAACCCACTTGAGCATCTCAAGTAATGCAGAAAAGAGATCTGACAAAATCAAACACCTTTTCAAGGTAAACATACTCAATAAACTAGGAATAGACCAAAAATTCCGCAACACAGCAAAGGATGTTTATGAAAAACCCACAGATAACATACTCAGTGGAAAGAGATGGAAAGCCTTCCTCTAAGATCAGGAACAATACAAGGATGCCTGCATTCACAATGGCTACTCAACATTATACTGGAAGTGCTAACCAGAACAATTACACAAGAAAAAAAGAGACCCAATTTGGAAAGGAAAAAAGTAAAACTATCTCTGTTTGCAGATGGCATGATTCTATATATACGAAATTCCAACAAATCCACAAAAGCTAAAAAGGGTTAATTAACAAACTGAGCAAAGTGGCAGGGTACAAGAACAACATCCAAAAATCAGCTGTGTTTCCATACACAAACAATAATAATCTGAAAAGGAAATCAGGAAAGCAATTCCATTTACAATAGCAGTTAAAAAAATTAAATATGCTAAGGTTTGAATGTGTCTTCCAAAACCCATGTGTTAGAAACTGAATCCCCAATGCAATAGTATTGAGAGGTGGGAACTTCATGAACAGATTAATGTGTCATTGTGGGAGTGGCTCCCTTATCAAAGGATAAAATTCAGCCCCTTTCCCTCTCTCTCACCCATGTGATGCCTTCCTACATGTTATGACGTGGTAAGAAGGCCCCTGCCAGACACCAGACCCTCACCAGATGCTGGCCCCACAAACTTGGATTTCTCAGCCTCCAGACTTTGATAAATAGATCTCTTTAATAATTACTCAGTGCTGGCACTCTGGGAGGCCAAGGTGGATAAATCAATTGAGGCCTGGAGTTTGAGACCAGCCTGGGAAACATAGCAAGACCCTGTCCCTACAAAAAAATAAAAAAATTAACCCAGCACAGTGGCCTGTGCCTGTAGTCCCAGCTACTCAGGAGGCTGAGGCAGAGGACTGTTTGAGCCTGGGATTTTCAGGCTGCATCAAGCCAGGATCACACTACTGCACTCTAGCCTAGGTGACAGAACAAGACTATGTCTCTAAAAAATAATTAATAACAGCCGGGCGCGGTGGCTCAAGCCTGTAATCCCAGCACTTTGGGAGGCCAAGGCGGGTGGATCACGAGGTCAAGAGATCGAGACCATCCTGGTCAATATGGTGAAACCCCGTCTCTACTAAAAATACAAAACATTAGCTGGGCATGGTGGTGCGTGCCTGTAATCCCAGCTACTCAGAAGGCTGAGGCAGGAGAATTGCCTGAACCCAGGAGGCGGAGGTTGCGGTGAGCCGAGATCGCGCCATTGCACTCCAGCCTGGGTAACATGAGTGAAACTCCGTCTAAAAAAAAAAAAAAAATAATAATAATAATAATAATAATTAATAATAATAAAATAAAAATAAAAATTACCCAGTCTCTGATATGCTGTTACAGCAGCATAAAACAGACCAAGACAAATACATGGCAATAAATCTAAGGAGGTGAAAGGCTGTATACTGAAGACTATAAACAATGCTGGCAGAAATTAAAGAAGATAGACGTTCATGGAAAGACACCCTGCATTAACGGAATGAAGACTGTTAATGTCAGAGTACTACCCAAAGTGACCAACAGATTTGATGTTATTCCTGCCAAAATCCCACGGGCAGCTTTTTGCAGAAACAGAAAAACTAATCCTAAAATTCATATGGGAATATGGTGGGCCCTGAATAGCCAAAACACTCCAGAAAAAGGACACTTGGAGGACCTCAAAACTTACACAAATCTACAGCAATTAAAACAGTATAGGTCCTTCTCCCCGCCCCTGCCACACCCCGCCCCGCTTCCTGCCCTCATGCTCCACTGCTAAGGGGGAGAAAAACCAGTAGGACAGACATATAGACCAACTGAATAGAACAAAGAACCTAGAAATACACACTTCAAATATGTCATCAATTGATCTTTGTAAGGATGCCCATTCAATGAGGAAAGGACAGTCTTCAACAAGTGGTGCTGGGAAAAGTAGATAACCACATGCAAAAGGATGACATTGGACTCTTAGCTAATAACATATACAAAAATTACCTCAGTGGATCAATCACCTAAAATGTGAGATTTAAAACTATAAAACTTATAGAAGAAAACACTGGAGGAAATCTTCACGATGTTGGACTTGGCAACAGCCTCATGGATATGACACCAAAAACAAAGGCAAACAAAAGAAAAAAAGCACAAATTCATCAAAATTAAAGGCTTCTGTGCACCAGAGTACTAAGAAAATGAAATGGGCCGGGCGTGGTGGCTCAAGCCTGTAATCCCAGTACTTAGGGAGGCCGAGGCGGGTGGATCACGAGGTCAAGAGATCGAAACCATCCTGGTCAACATGGTGAAACCCCGTCTCTACTAAAAATACAAAAAATTAGCTGGGCATGGTGGTGCGTGCCTGTAATCCCAGCTACTCAGGAGGCTGAGGCAGGAGAATTGCCTGAACCCAGGAGGCGGAGGTTGCGGGGGGCCGGGTTCCCCCCATTGCACCCCCGCCGGGGAAAAAAAGGGAAAACTTTTCTCCAAAAAAAAAAAAAAAAAAAAAGAAAAGAAAATGAAATGATACTGAATGGGAGAAAATATTTGCAAATCACATATCTTTAAGGGATTAATATCCAGAATACATAAAGAACTCCTAAACTCAACAACAACAAACAACAACCTGATTTTAAAAGCAGGCAAAGGACCTGAACAGACATTTCTGTTTTTTGAGACAGATTCTCACTCTGTCCCCCAGGCTGGAGTGCGACTGGGCCAATCTCGGCTCACTGTAGCCTCCACATCTGGGGTTCAAGCGATTCTGCTGCCTCAGCCTTCTAAGTAGCTGGGACTACAGGCGTGCACCAACACACCTAGCTAATTTTTTCATTTTTTGGTAGGGGTGGAGTTTGGTCATGTTGGCCAGGCTGGTCTCGAACTTCTAGAAGTGATCCACTTGCTTCGGCCTCCCAGAGTGCTGCAATTACAGGCGTGAGCCACCGTGCCCGGCCCTGAATAAATACTTCTCCAAAGATTTATAAATGATCAATAAGCACATGAAAAGATGCTCAACATCTTTTTTTTTTTTTTTTGAGACGGAGTTTCGCTCTTGTTACCCAGGCTGGAGTGCAATGGCGCGATCTCGGCTCACCACAACCTCCGCCTCCCGGGTTCAGGCAATTCTCCTGCCCCAGCCTCCTGAGTAGCTGGGATTACAGGCACGCACCACCATGCCCAGCTAATTTTTTGTATTTTTTTAGTAGAGACGGGGTTTCACCGTGTTGACCAGGATGGTCTCGATCTCTTGACCTCGTGATCCACCCGCCTCAGCCTCCCAAAGTGCTGGGATTACAGGCTTGAGCCACCGCGCCCGGCCTATCAACATCATTTTTAATTAGGGAAATACAAATCAAAACCACAGTGAGGAGGCTGAGGTGAGAGAATCACTTGAGGCCACAAGTCTAAGACCAATCTGGGCAACATGGTGAGACCCTGTCTCTATATAAAATTCAAAAAAAAAAAATTAGCCGGGTGTGGTGGCACACGCCTATAGTCCTAGCTACTCAAGAGGCTGACGTGGGAGATCACCTGAGCCCAGGAGTTCAAGGCTGCAGTGAGCTATCACTGTGCCACTGCACTCTAGCCTGGATGACAGAGAAAGATGCTGTTTAAGAAAAGAAAATGCTTTCTACCCGTGGACGCCGCCGAAGAAGCATCGTTAAAATCTCTCTTCTCCCTGCGATCATGTCTAAGTCAGAGTCTCCTAAAGA